TTCCTCTTGATACACTTGTTCCAGTCTTGTCAGACTGAGCCAAATCTTCTAATTTTTTAACCCTTATCAATAGCTTCCTAATGATACATTCATTAGGAACACATATGACTGTTGAAGCCAGTCGGTTACGGTTTCTACCACAGAACCTTGATGTTCCCTTAATGAAAGGGAATAGCTTGGGCACAGTTCAGTCACAATGGATCTGAAGTGAAGGCAAGTAGCTTACAAAAACATTAGGGAAAAAGGCAGGTAATGAATTTAATGCATGTGGCTTTGTATCATAAAGCATCATCCTAAGAACCCTCAGAGGAAGAACATTCCCGGTATTAAGAGTGAAGTATTTAATTTGATGTGAAGAGGAAAAAAAAGTCACAGAACTACTCACATAGGTTTTACCCCATGTTAGCACTGACAGCTGCCTTCAGCTTAACTAATTTTCTTCAGGCAAAAATTCTACATACTGCACATATTAACTAGACAAGCTTTGGGAATTCTTTCAGAACGTTATAGGTAAATGCTTCACTTATACAACTACAGGAACAGATTCACATATGCAGCTGCTAAAAGCCGCCCCACCCCCCAAAAAACCAACATCATACTATAGTTCATACTTTAAATTATTAGACTGAAGAGAGTCAGAAATGAGTATAGCTATCCTAATACGAAGATGATGGTCAAATGGCATCTATTATTCAACTATCAGTTGGTTCCACATTCTTTTACTCATGTATTTTATCCTTATCATCTTATCTACAGTAATTGCACTTTGGATTTGTGACACATTTCTGTGTTTTATTATATATAATAAAAGTCAAACAGACTGTAATCATCTGATGATTAGAAAGAACAGCTGCAACCACCTCTAAGATGAACAACTAGAGCCATTCTGTGCACAGGGAGAGAGCAACTTTGACACATACTATTAACCTAAGAAAGATTTTTTTTTTCTTTTCCTATTGCAGCCTTGCATTGTAATGCTCCAATGTACAACCTACTCACAACATCAGACTGCCTTTTAAAGGCAACTACAGCATCCATGTTCTTCCTGGAAGAAGGGTAAATCTGTGACTTCCTGTCACAGAGGAGTTTATCACAAAGGTGTTATCACTGCGTGTTCTCAGAGACAGAAAACAACAAATTTGGACAACAAGAAACAATTGAGCAAAAATCAGTCCCTGCTAGTCAAGAAGAGTTACGGCACCTCCCTGATGATATGAGCTGCAAGGCACAGAAGTCTAATGGCCTCATAATTAAAACAGCATTGAGGGGCTAGCATCATGAAAATAATTCCCTGTCATATCAGCTATCATATGAGCAGAAGAAAGGCTGCTTCTTTTTTTCACCAGACAGGGTGGGCACACAGAATGTAAATCCACTATGCCTGTGTTAGCTACAAATTCCCTTATGAAAGGAAAATTCACTGCCAGTTCTATCATCTGAACAGTACTGCACAAAACAGCCAGGAGATTGCATCCTTCTCCTTTTTTGTTTGCTTGGTTTGCTGGGAGATTGTTTTGCTCGTAAACTTTTTCTTTCACAAGTCACAACTGAAATCAAACAAAGTGTACAAGACTGAAATTACTGCAATATTGCAGAGATTTACATATCCTTATTATCAACCAAATAATGTAAATCTCTTCCGAGATACATGTATGGATCTAGTTCCCACATAAATTGGAGGGTTTTTTCACTTTGAAAAAGACACAGTGGGATTCTTAACATTTTGCCTATAGAAAGGGTGCAGTGCAGATAAAGTAGAACCGTTGTTTAAAAAATCATTAGCTGTATTTTAAGCAATGCAGAAATGAACTCCGTAAATTTCAAGCACATCACAATTGTAAAACCAGGACAAAAGTCACCTGGAGAAATACAGGCAAAATATGAGAAGTTTATTCTAAAAAACCCTATAATTTAAATTTTGTTTCCAAAACATACAGAACACAGCAATCATGCTTAAGACTGGTGAGAATTAGCACAACAATTACGACTATGCATGCTAATGCTGTTCCAGGTGAGGCTGGGTCAGATGGCTGGTCATAAACATAGAATTTGCTGTAATGCAAATGCTCTACCTTAGTCAATACTGCAAGTTGAATTGCAAGTGAAAACCGAGTGGGAAAAAAAGCCATGCAGGATCATGCTGATTCAGATTCAGGAAAGTATTTAAAGTGGAGACTAGACTGGTACCTTTAATGTATCTGTAAAATGTGGTATTTGTTCTAGATTAAAAGACCTCATAGAATAGCTTGAAATGTCAGAACTGACTTCAGAGAAAACCAGCTGTGGAGGTCATGTCAGCCAGATACAGGCAAAAACTTGCCATAGCTTCAGGATACATATAGGACATTTCTTATTCACCACTACCATTGTTTTCCTGTTATAGAACTACATTAAGCAAAAAAGTCTTACATAGCTGGATATGGTTTTGTTTTATTTTCTTCCACTAAGCAATATTTGAATTAATATGAGATTTAAAAGCTGCTAATTATCTTAAACTAATACACTGTAGTGTATTCTCTCATAGGCCCAGTGAACTGATGCTACAGGGCGTTACAGCATACAGCGATGATGGAGCAAGCTCTGGCATTGCACAGAACATGCAGCTTAAGAAGCGAGTAGATGAACTGAAAAGTGTGACGATGACCACTGCAGGTAACTCTTGAAGTTCTCTCATACACTATAGAAGGGAGAGAAAGATATCCTGGTACAAACTGTACACTTCTGCATAGAAAGTCTAACTTTACTGGGCTGGTTTTTACCTAGTTTCAGTCATAGGTCAGAACTAAAGGATCAGGTCACTGTAAGGTATAGAGTTATAATACATTAAATTTCATGTCATATTTTATTCTGTCTTTTGTCATAGAAACTTGCCTTTGGAGAAACTGTCGAGTACTCTACAGCAACAAATCAGTATTGTGTTTCAAGATGATAGAAACACAGTGGAGTAATAAATAATACGGGATGCAGTCAATAAAACCCCTTAGCTTTTCTACAGAAAGTACTGGAAAAAAGATTAAATAATTTTATTAGGATCTACAAGAGATAAGAAACACAAGACATTACTTATAAAGAGATATTACTCAGATAACTGGTAACTTACTTGGCCTGTGTAGAATTATTTTACATAGTTAAACTCACTGTGTTTTAGTTATTTCCTCAACTTGTCAATTATTTATACTCCCTTCACATCAAACAAGGTACACATTCTCTTCCTTTACTGAATTTTTTACTGAATTTAAATTTCATAGGAACCCTAGCTATGTTTTTTCTTTTGGTTAAAGACAACTCTATAACTTTCTTTTTCAGAGGGTCATATCTTCCAAGCCAAAAAGCCCAATGTGCCCTCAAAAGTGCACATATCAGGAATTGCATTCATACAGCTTCCTGGTATCCCTGCACAAATATGAGCATGATAAGATTATGACCGAGTGAAGATTATGAGTGACTTATTACTGTTTCTTAATTTGACCAGTACTTTTGTATTCAGCACATTGTTTACTTAAAATAAATGTACTCCCATTAAAATAATATTCTAGTTATATTAAAAATATTTTAACTTATCTTACTTTTTTCTTTGCAAGTGGACGAATGAGTCACCCTACCTGGATTTTCTTTCACTTGCCACTTCACTCTGGCATATGCAAAGAAAAGAAAAAGCAAGCTAAGTTTTCATTTAAAGAAAAGAATTACTGTGCAAAGGGAGTGCACTCATCTGAGCAAACATATGTTTACAGCATTTAGTATTTTAATTATATTTGACATGGCCTTGACAATTGCTCCCTTCAGAATTATGAAAGAAAGATATCTGCCCATCTGTTATGAACGTCAGCTCCTAAATTAAGGGTAAGTGCAAAAGTAACCTCTAAGAAATTCAAATTTGTTATCAAAAGTTGATACAAGATATAAAACCAACTCACTAGGAGTTAATTAGAAAAACTGAAAGCAAGAATCAAATCAAATGTGTATACAAGGTATTCAAAAATAAAACCCCAAACAGAAAAACAAACCAAACAAAAAACTACTTTGAAAGAAAAATCTTGTGTGAAGTACCTCTCCAGGAACACATCAAAGGAGGATATGCCATTCAAATGACATGTTTTATCTGTTACTGAATTTACTGAAAAGAGTTCAGACAATGTAGCACTATTCATACCCTGGGGTTTTTTCACAATCTGTTGTTGTGATGTCAGACAGATACAGGATACAAGAGTTTAGGATCTCTCCCCTTTCACACACCCACAGGAAGCATATATAATGTCAGACCCTACTGCCTCACAAAATATCCAGAACACGATCAATCGGATGGCTTGGTTAAGAACTACATCCATCCTGATGCCTGTTATATCACGGTTATTTCTCTCTCAAGCTACAAAGCCTTTAGCTGCAAATCATAGGAAGGAAATACAGGTTCCACAGATACCTGTGCCAGTGATTGAGCAGGCAGAATACTTATTGAAGTTGGGAAAAATGCAATACCATTAAAGAATGTCAATTAATGCAATGCTATAAGTGCTGTTTTTCATAGAAAACTAAGTACTTGACCATTAAAGGCAATTAAAATATTGAGCAGTAGGGTGTCAGGGTTTTTTGTACAGGGATGTTGCAATTGGTGTCATTACCTGAATTCCACTTCAGGTAACTTGCTTACCCAAATTTTCTCTGTAAAAATTAGACATTCATTGCTCTAATGTTCTGTCAAGAATATTTTCCCAGATGTCAACACTTTTACTTGAGAGAGAGATTAAATATTTCACATTTTTCTATCATAATATATCTGTGGCCCAGATACTAAATGCAGAAGGAAAAATGGGGAGAACCCAAAGCTTTCAAGCATGAAATCCTTCTCTAGCACTGCAAAGGAAACCATGGACTAATACTTTAAAAGATGCATTTTATAAACATATTGACATGCAGGTATCATATTTTTGCAAAACTTGAGCAACACTTCTGTTTCATCCCCCACACCTCCCTTCCAATTTTTCTAAGTTAAAGTAACTTACTTGCAAATGTCATCTTCTGGGTCTTCAAGCCCAAATCTTTCATCGAAAGTAAGCTGTATCCATACATTTTCGTCTACTGCTACTAATCTCCACACTAGCACAGTATTGCGTGGGTATGTGTGTGGAAACTTGGGGCTGTGAATACTTCCATTAGTAGTCACAGTAACTATCTTCTCATGCTGAGGATCCTGCACGCCTATAGTAAAGACAGAAAACAGATGCATGAATACTCATTTCTTCTCCTTTTCCTAAAGTGCTTGTATAGTATTCAGAGGTTTTGTTTTGTTTGCTTTTCTTCATCTTGCAAGGAATTTCTGCTTGGAAAATCTGTATAGTAAAAACAACCCAAAAGTGATAAGTATTACTCTGCTAGCAAAAGTTATTCAAACCCAAGCCTCAACTGCTGTTCAGAAAGCAGAACAGATGTTCAAGTGGAGCTAAGAGAAATGTGACTGCAAACACCTAAATGCAAGACTGGAATACTCACAGAAACCCAGCAGCCCAAGGGACTACATCATGCACCCTGCTGCTGGTTTCAGTTCTCTGTTACTGGAGATTGCACAGAGATCACATGAGGGTACAGGGACAGGTCTGCTCACACCTACCACAAAAGGGATGGTTTAAATTTGTCTCCTGTTAATGGAGACTGTCTTACATTTATTGAGTTCAGTGATAAGGATTTTGATGGCTGCCTCCTTCCAGAGGGCTGTATCAGAACAAAGTTATCCCAGTACAAGAATGAAACTGGGACATGCTTAGGAAACTTGGGAAAGTCACCAAGTGTAAGAAATTAGGCATGTACTAGGCATGATAAGCCTCAATCAAGGGCATTCCTCAAAATTCTTCACAGCACTTTTAGACTAAACACATGTAAAATTAAATGAATGTTTTACAATGCAGCAGGAAATTAATTCAAAAGAAATAAGTCAACTACATTTGATTTTTAAAGCACACAGTAACACTGAAACTACTGAAAAGACCTCTTCAGGTCTTCATAACTGCAAGGAGTTACCAAAAGGAAACGACTCCTTCGGTGAGCAGCAGCCGTGCCCAACAATTCTCTTCACAGTCTCACAGAGACCTCATTCTCAAGTGCCGAACATTCATAGGAATTCATATTCAGCAGCTGGAATCAGCTCGTATTGAGTATTTAGCTGCAAAAACCAGGCACTGACCTGATCTGGATACATTTTAACATTGTGACATAGGGCAATGAGATCTCTAAACCACAAAATTTAATTCCATAAGCGCATCAAATGAAAAAATCCTCCTTATGCTATAGCACGTGACTTTTACTAACTTTGGCTTTTTCTAAAAACCTGTATACAGTCAAGTTTTACATTTCAGTCAGTAAATCATAGGAATTCTCAGAGTTTCTTATTAATAACTTTAGTAACAAAGTCAGCTTATAGTTTTGTACTGGAGAGTTATTAATATTATTTTGTTTTCAGCTATTCATTGTCTTTTTCAGTTAGATACCGTATCTTATTTTTCTGATTGTTTTATAACCAGCATTGAGGAACATTTATTTGAAGCTATGTAAGACATATATGCTTCAGTCTACAAAGAAAAATACACTGCAGTTGTACCTTGTTACAGCTACATGTAAAGGCTGACAGCTAAATGAATGCAGTGCAAGAAAAGAAGGCCACAGAAACAGCATTGCTATTTTAAAAGGCTTAATCTATACTTAAATATAATTTAAAGTCTGATGGACTTTTCCTTTCTATTCTTTTGGACTTGTGCCTTCTACTTGTGATATGAAAATGGTAAATTTTCTTTTAAGTGGAATTGCTGCTTGTGTAACACTGATGGATTGTGGTCTTGCCAGTATCCATGCACAGTTGCAGAGGACTGACTGTCTTGTGTACAAATAAGATAGGACAGCAGGCAGTAATAAGAAAAAAGCACAGAAAAAGGGCACATAAAGCAGATTCCCAATTTAGACACTTCATTGGGTTTTTGTTAGCTGAGTCACAAGCATTTTTCTATAATGCATAGTATGTCAGCTGAGAGCTGCATGCTAAACACAGGAGCCAACAATAATAAAAATTACTTTCCCAGAGATTAGTACACCAGAGTGGTATTTCCAAAGTATGCAAAGGACCACCATTTCAGACAAACATGTCAAAGTGTGGTGTCTGACGACACTATATTCAGTGGTTTATTTTGTCTTTAAAAGCACACACAGGATTACAAACCATGTTATATTTCACAACATATTAAGAAAGTGTTTTCTTCTGTGTCATCAGGACAATGATAACAACAGCACTGCAAGTAAGTCCTGTGAAAAGTCCAGGCATATAAAATGAGAAGTCAATAAAAAGGGGCAAAGCAAACAAAAGGCATGTGGCAATTTAGTGAACAGAAGTTGCGGCACCTCCAGTACCTTCAGCTCCTCCATTTGTAAAGGAAAAATATCTATTTACTTTAGCACACACCAGTGTTCCATGAACATATCAAATTCCCACACACACCACTTGCTCCATTTCAAATATTTGCTCTCACACAGTGGAATTTCTTCTCTTACAAAAGAATTATTTTGTATGACTACAAAGGCAAGTAATTGCTGTCACTGGAGAATGAAGCTTGTTATTTGTCTTCAGATAAGCTGCAATATTCCTTTCTATCTATTCTACATAAATTGTACCATTGTACCTCAAAAAGCTAGCCTTTTCCTACTGAGTTCATGCATGTTCTGAAAATATGAGTAAACTGTGTGAAGAGCACAGCTACCTGAATGTGGCTAAGATGAGACTACAGTCTCTATTCTTTGTGGAATGACTTTGCAATCCCTGGCTTTATTTTAGGGATAAATCAGTCCAAGTTACACTTAAAAGGGAGTAAAAAGTTCAGTCAGATTTACAGCGGTCAGCTGTGTAACTCCTAAGCTATATACATTGCTGCCATGATCTGTCTGCCTTTCTATTAACAACCATCCTCCCCGCACTCCCCTCCCCCCCAAAAAAGAAGAAAAAGATTATTACTGTACAGATAGCATAGAACAACCCTGAAGAATCAGTTTAGGCAAGGACTGAGGTAGGCAAGGCACCATCTCAGCCAAGGGGTAACAATACCACGCAAGGGAAATTCAGACAGACAAGGACCAAAACAATGTATTTGCATCTTCAGCAACAAGCTTCATCAGAAGATGGGCAACTGAGATCACCTGCAAGAGAAAGTCCTGAAAACAGGGCACACTAGATGGGAAAAATCCCTAAGCTGACCCAGGGATATGACATGGTTACGCTTATTAGGAAAGGACAGCACACACTTAACAGAGCCTGAAGTTGAAGAACGAGTCGCCGCAGTCGTCTTTGATGTGGTACAAGATGCTATCACCAGATTTATATATCTATCAATGTAGAAAGTCTGCCTCTGAAAATTACAAGATTCCAGGCATTCTGAAAGCACGGCAATGCCTAACCCTTCCACAGACGTGGTAATGCAGATGAAAAACCACGGTATCACCAAACAGATCAGCAGATGCCACTGTAAACTGAAATTAAACCCACCAACTAGACAAGCTCATTCCTGCCTACTTCAAAGTAGGTCTCTTCCCCCATGGGCACAACACATTTCACAAAGATCAGCGCTGACACTTTTTAAATATAGCAAATACCTCCTTCTTAGTACATCGTAATCACTACATTTTAGTGAGGATCATGAGTAAAAGACAAATCACATACAGTTCAGGAGACTGACGAGGAGCTGCAGAAGAAGAGAGGAGCACCATGGTTAGAGTAACGGCCTTGGCACTGATTCACTTGAAAGGCTGATTCACTTAACAGGTCACACAGTACTGGTGAAATTGATTTTTAAAACTTTTTGCTAAACCTACATTAATTTCATAACAGGACAAGATGAGAGTACTGCTGATCACACGCTGTTAATATATTATTTGGTTAATTTCATTCAGTAGCCCTTAATTATGAAAACCAACTTTTAGGCCTTTCAGAAACAGCATTAGCTCATGTGTGGCTATCACTGCTTTAAAACAAAGTAACAAAAAAGAGCCAAATTCAAACATATGAGAAGTTTCAACTCTAAATATTTACCTGTTAATATCAGAGCTATTTCACACATACAGTTTATGTTGCAGTATGTGTGAGTCCTCTGCTTTAAAACTCAGAAACAAAAGATGACAGTAACTAGTTGTTCATTACCACAGAACTTCAGAAGGAAGCAGGTTTTTTTTAATTAAAGTGATCGAAAGGATTTCCTGACAACATTCCCATATAATTTTTACAACAGTCCACATATGCACAGAAACCGAGACTTCATAGAAGAAATTCTTTGAAATGTAACTTAACAGGCCATTTCTTCCTCTTTCACCAGACTTTCAAAAAGCGGTAAGGCTACTTTCAAAAGTAGTAACTCCAGGCATACAGGGGTACCTCTTTCTGCCCTCGATCTCTGGTTCAGTTGCCTCCAGGCACTTCTAAGCTATTATCTGAATGTAACAGTCAAAATGAAATTCAACTCTTTTGCTGGGTACAAAGGAAAAGCCCAAAAATCATCTGTTATTGGCAGAAAACTGAAGACAAATAGCTCTGTTCGATATTGTTCATATATAAAATGGATAGCAGGGCAAAGCCACTCAAAATCATACAAATGCTGCTTTGAAGGGACCTCTGGAGACCTGCAGTCCCAGCTCCTGCTTGGGTTGCAATTCCTGCTCACACCACAGCAGGTCACCCCTTTGAGGGTTGACATTTTCTAGCCAATACTCAAACCCCCTCACGGATGGAAACTCCACAGTGCCTTGGGATAACCTGTTCCAGTGCTGTACTATCTCTCTAGCTAAGATGTTTTTCCTAATGTTCAATCTGAACCTCACAAGCTGCAACTTCTAGCCATGGGTATTTTCAGGGTTTGTTGTGTTTTTACACTCTGTGCCCCCACCAGGAAGAGTTTAACTTGATCACCCTTGCAACTGCTCTTCAGGCAATTGGGAGCCTGCTATTAGACTGCCCCATAGCCTTCTCTTCCCCAGACTAAACGAGGCCAGCCCCCGCACACTCCACTCACTGCCTGCCACCAACTAGATGCTGAGCCTTCAAGCCTGGCCATCCAGCCAATTTTCAACCTACCTAACAAGCAGTCTGTTCTTCCCACCCATTGTGCCTCAAGTACCATAAGAAATGCTTTTGAAGTATGCAGGGTTTGTTTTCATCACCAACTTTTCAAGTAGTG